CCCCCCCCAGGCCACACAGAGCTGGTCATTGTTGCCCCAGGTCCGGGACCACCCGGCTGGGAGGAGGGGCATCGGCCTGAGGACCCACAGCAGCCTCGGGTCGAGTGCCCAGCGGGCGCCCGGAGAGGGGGCGTGCGCACCCCCGGAGGACCCCCCTCAATCCACTCCCTCCCGGCGGGAACCTAGCCCTGGCTCGGGCGCTCTGCAGACCCTCGCGACGAGCCGCGTGGAAATCTGTTTCCGACGCGGTTGCAATGAAAGAAAACTCCCCGAACAGGATTTCCCCGGGAGAGCGGGCTCTTCAGCTCGGGAAAGAAGCCCTGCGCGGGGTGCGGGCGGAACGGCGGGCTGAGCGGGCACCACGGGCGGGGGCGCACGGACCGCGGCTTCCCGAAGTGCGGGTTTAAAACATTTGTTAGGAATGTTCTGACTTATCAGAAACATTTAAAAGCGTTAACGTGAAAAATGCCCCCGGCTCCTGTTGTGCACAGACGTGTGACTACCCCGCACAGGGCCTCTGCCCGCGCCCCTCCCCCTCGCCTAAGCCACAAGGCAGCGCCGTCCCCACGACCCCCGCGGGCTGGCGACCAGCTTCCCAGGCAGCCTGGTGGGGCAAATGCCCCTCGCGGCAGAAGGGGAGGGAGCCGTGCCCGCAGCAGGAAGCTCGCCCCCGCCGCGCACTCCTCTTTCCCGCCCTCCCCCATGCCCGCGCCCAGGGCGTCCCAGGTGGGCACAGGTGTGCAGACCTGCACCCCCCAGGGCGGCCTGGGCTGGACTGGTTCCCTCAGGCTGCGAGCAGCTTCCTTCCCTGCGCTGGTCAGTCCCTCAGATATCCCAGACGCCTTGGAGAAAGTTAGGATGTACCCATCAAACAGTGATTTGTAAATTTTTTGGTCAAAAGATCCTTTAGAGAAATAGATAAAAATTAAGGTTTCTACCCCAGAAAAAGACAAATGCACAAAACTCTCCCATAACTTCTATATGAACTCAACAGAGGTCTTCCCGAAGGTGACCCAGGGGCTTGTGGCCTCCACTTAAGAGCCTGTCCTACAAGAGGCTGCCACCTGCAGGTAGAGGGTCAGGTTAAAGGGTCTGCAGACCCAACCTCAACCTGGGCATTCCATTATACTGCCTGCCAATTATTGATTAGAAAGCATGATGGAGCCCTGGCCTGTGTGGCTCAGTTCGTTGGGAATCATCCCTTGCAAGGAAAGGTTGCTGGTTCAATTCCGGGTCAGGGACATGCCCAGGTTTTGGGCTCCATCCCCCATAGGGGGCATGCGGGGGGCAGCCCATCAGTGTTTTGTTCTCACATCGATGTTCCTCTCTCTCTCCCTTCCTCTCTCTCTAAAAATCAATTTAAAAATCTTAAAAAAAAAAAATTGTAATGGAAAAGAGCAGTTGTCCACAAGTCATTCCGCACGACTGGAACAGCTCCCCAGCACAATGGCTGTTTCTGATACGTTCCTTGAGATCTCAGTCTGCTCTTTTTACAAATGGCAGTCATCATCACATCGATAAATCTGCCTAACGGTTGGACAGGAAATTCCTTTTTTTGGGAAGAGCCGATGGTGGCATTGCGCTTCTCTGATGCCAACATGGAAGGGATTCAGCTGGAGAGATCTGAAGCTCATGAGGACCAGCAAGCGCGTCCCTCGCCCCCCTCCCGTCTCCAGTCCAGCTCTGGGAGCAGGCCAGGGAGAGCGCGTTCTTTATTTTCCCGGGGCTGCTTTCCCCATTTGGTCCTTCTAAGATTTTACTTAGTGACATCGAAAAAGATCCTGCATGGTGACCTTCCCCAGCATCGCCCTGAGCTCATGGCAACACTCTCATGAAAGGAAACTTTGTTTTCCTCCAGGGGAATGACAACAAGGCGCAGAGGTATAATGTAAAACTATGTTTTTCTTTATTGGAAAGACATCTACAAGGTAACGCTTCTCAGTCCGCTGGCTGCACATGCAGAGCCGGGGCGGGCTGGCGGAGGGTCCTCGGGGGCCTGCTTTCCGTGAGATGGTTAGTGCAGAAAAAGATCACGCTGCGTCACAATTAATTTGACGTGATTAATTTTTGCTCTACTGGCGTCATACGATGACATCCATGAACGTGTGTTTCCCAAATAGAGCCTTGACATTAAAAGGTTACTCCACAGCCTAATGTTAACTTTCGTACACACATAATGCTCGGGGTCTATATAAAAATATCTCTAATTGCGTATCGGGGGATGTATGTCTAGATTTTCAGTCTGTTAGCATAATTAAGCCCATCCTTCCCCATTTTCAAACACAGCAGGTATTGTCTGACAGCTCCGGCTCCGTGTCTTCGACTGGATATCCGTGGGGGTAAAATTTTAATCTCTCAGCCTGGAAGCTGCATTGCCCGAAGCCAATGACCCTGCTGTTTTCTTCTTGGAACCGCATTGACAATGTCTTCACACTGATTCATATCCTACCATTTCTCTCAGGGACACAAACAAAACAAAACCAAACCCCACTCCAGCTGAAGGTTTCGAATGATTTGGGTAAGTGGAATTCCAACACAAAGAAATACCTTGTTTCCCTCCTTTTAAGAACTTTTGATTATAGTCAAAAACCGTTTCAAATAAGAGACCACCCACCCAGCTCACAGGCCTCTATTGGAGAGAGAGCTCACTCATTTGACTTGTTTAAAATATATAAGAAGTAACCTTATATTTTGATGTGCGGACTTCCTTGGGGAATGTTTTTGAACTGAAGAGTAAAAGTGCTTCTTGTTTTAAAAAAAATAAACCTCTTTTATTAAAAAATTCTTCCTTAAAGATGACCTATATATAACCTCGGTGTTTTAAAATCCTCTATCACGTCAACCGTGCTTCATTCTTTCCTGGCTGTCTCTTTAGTGTTCCACAGTAAGACCATGAGCACCCTTGCTAGTTGCTAGCCTTACATTTTAGTTTCTAAAAGTCTATCGTCAGTTGAGGAGTGGTGGGAGACATCCTTCCCAGAGCAGTCCAGGGAAGGGTAGAAAGAAGGGAAAACTTCCCCTGTTGGGAAGAACTGAGTGAAGAGATCATTAATAATTCAACTCCTAGAATGGCCTCTGACCTGGTCACCTGTACAACTGATATTTTGGACACAGGACCTGGCAAACCACACCACCATCCTGTCCCTGCTTAGGAGTGTTCATTCCAAATAAACGTCCACGGGATGATACTTGCTGCAGGACGTTCCCAGGGGACAGAGAGAACAGGCTCTCTCACGATGCCACAGGATATCTGGGCTACGAGAGACCACAAAGGCAGTTAGGGAACGCGCCCATTTTACAGATGAGGACACTGAGGCCTCGGGATAAGATGTAACTTGCCCGTGGCCACATGGGAATTTCACTTGATGCACCTCCTCACAGCTGTGCAAGGTGTGGATTCATACGGTCCTGCTACTAATAAAGCAAGAGCACAAATCAGAACAGAAAGGGGGGAAAACCCTCCTGTCCAACTGAAAACCGAGTGCAGTTTATCAAGTTGCTTTGTTTTGATACTAAAACTGAAGCATGTTCTGAAGGATTTTTTTTTTTTTGACAGTTGATTTAAAAGCATGTTTTTCGCCTACTATTTGTTTGACTCTAACTTATAAAAAATCACATTTACAGGATTGTGTGTCACATAAACTTGCAAGATCGGATCAAGACTATTTTTGATCTCAGTACCTTATTAGATAAGACTAAGACGAAATGACTTGAAACTTTCCAATGTGGGATGAAAACTATACGTTTTGGCCGCCGCAAAACCCCCCCTTGTTTTTGGACGCATGCTTCCAAATCCCACCAGAGCCAGGAGGAAAAGGGAGGTAAGGGGCTCGCTGGAGAGAACACGCTGACACGAGATGGAAACACTTTGTCATAGTTTTCAAACACCCGGTGCTCACGAAAGCACGTCCTTCGGTTCGTCTACATCTTGGTTTCGCTGTCAGCGGGTTTCTCGGTGTCGCTTTCCTGGGCAATCAGCTGATAGGGCTTCTTCATTTCATTCTCTTCGATCACTGAGTTGCCCATCTCGGCGTCCTGGTTCTTCAGCTCGTGTCGAGACAGGTGCTCGACGATGCCGGCGCCCAGCGAGTCTCCCAGCACGTTGGTGGTGGTGCGCAGGCGGTCCCTGGGGAAGGGCAGGAAGGGACCGTGAGGCTCCAGCCCCCGGCTCCAGCTCGGGGACGTGTCTGGAAGCATCTCTTAAAATTCTGCGTGGTGTGTCCCCCGGCCGCCTCATTACATAAGAGACACATAATCTTTACAAGAGTTATTAAAAGTCATAAGGACATATAGGTGATTAATTTTCAGTTACTAGAGTGCCAACAGTGGGGGACGACCCTTCCCTTTCACCTTTTATTAAAAATTTCTCTCTGATTCTCCTTCCTGCAACTCACCTTCCTTTACACCAGCGGTTCTCAAAGTGTGGTCCAGACACCCCCTGGAGGTCCCTGAGGTCGAAACTATTTTCATAATAACGCCATAATGTTATTTCCCCTTTTTTACTCTCATCTCCTCATGAATGTCTTGCACAGTTTTGCAAAGACTACCACACAACACCAAAGATACCACAACCGATTGAACACAGGAGCAGTGAGGAGACTCCAGCTGTCTTGTATTAAGCCAGATTCTAACGTGATTTGCAGAAATGTAAAATGATATCATTCTTTCCACTAAACCTTTGGTTTGGAAAATATTTTTTTCATTAAAACGTTATTTATGTTAACATGCAATGAACTTATTAGTGTAACCTTTAAATGAATTCAGCATTTTAAAAATTTCTAAGTTTTTCTAATATGATACGTATTGATAGATATGACCCACATAGATAAGAGCTTTTTTGGTCCCTGATAATTTTTGAGTGTAAAGGAGTCCTGAGACCAAAACCTTTGAGAACCACGGCTCTCTACTATGAAAGTCCTCACATCAGCTGAGGGCCAACTGTGGGCGGGTCAGCGGCTGAATGCTTTCCATGGGTCGTTGCACCTAATCCTCACAGCACCTTGGGGAGGTAGGTGATACTCTCATCACTATTTTATAGAAGAAAAAACTAGGACGGGCGGGTAACCTGCCCACTGTGCCCCGCACAAGGCCCAGATGTAAACACAGGCCCAAGTGACTGTGGAACTCACGCTCTCGGCCCATCTCCCTCCCCCGCACCTGTCCTGCCTTGGGCACATGTAAGGCTCTCCATGGCCGTTAGATCGAGCGGAGTCAACACATGTTGACTCGAGCATCGACTGTATCCTTCTAGGCACTCACATGGGGCATCCTGGGGAGAGAGATTTTTGCAAGTGGATGGGAACTTATGAGAGAAAGGAGGCGGAGAACATCAGCTGGAAGGGGGAGGGGAAAGGGCGGGGGATGGGGCCTGGAGGGTACTTGTTTTGGAACCTTCCCCAGAGCTCAAACTCACTCCCACTTAAGGATGCCGGCTGTGTCCCCCTGTCCGGGGCTGCCCCGCTCCCTGCTGGGCTCAGACGGGAACATCTGCGCCCCACTGGGATGGGAAGCACAAGGACGGAGGGCCCCCGGCAGCGTGTGAGGCCCGCAGTTCTGTTCCAGCCGCCGTGGGGTGTTGTGCAACTCAGACATGGCCTTGCAGGCTGACAGCGGGTTTCCCAATCCCCGCACGGCTTTATGGAGTGAGAACTGCAGCAGCCACATGGGCCCCACAGGCTGATAAGGGAGTCAACGCACATGGCGTCTGGGGCTTGGTCTCCAGCTCAGGGCTGGGATCAGGCCATGAAGACAGTTAATTCCCGGCCAAGCTGCCCCACTTGGGGGAGCCCTTTCGGCAGGCATGCCAGGCTGCCTGGTGCCCTTGACTGACCGAGGGGGGTCCTGCGACAGGGAGCCTGCACGCGGCCCGAGCATACTCACAGGAACCAGTCCACGGCGATGATGAGAGTGATGTCGTCCGTGGGCAGGCCCACGGATGTCAGCACGATGACCATGGTGACCAGGCCGGCCTGCGGAATCCCAGCGGCCCCAATGCTGGCAGCCGTGGCTGTGATGCTGTTAAGAGAAGTCCCCAAACAGAAAACATTTGTACAAATCTCTCCAAGTAGGACGTGCACCCCGCAAGCACACACAGCACAACGTCTGACATGCAAGTGAGCAGAGGAGGTGCTTTAGAAAAGTGTATGTGAGACTAAAAACCCCACTGAACGAGCAATCATGTTTATCAAGTGCTTATTACGTGCCATCTGACAGGCTGTACATGGCTTGTCTCCTTGATCCCCACAGCAACCCTGAGGAAGCTGGTCCTGTGATGATACAGTCATTTCTAAATGAAGACACTGGGTGGCTACAGGCTTTTCACATACCTGAAATGTTTCGTCAGGTCTAAAACACTGCACAGCTCAATAACAATTTGTTTCTAATAACTCCTTTGTCCAACATGAGGACTGTAAAGATACTGAACTTGTACGGTTAATGAGGTCCGGAAAAAAAATCAGGTTTATCAATTAAAAAGCAAAGTGATTATGAACAAAGTTCTGTAGCACTGTAAGTATTTTTTATGGAGACAGCGTGGACCTGGTTTGTAAGGCACATACCCTGTCCGGGACTCAGCTTGTTAAATACCTATTTGATAGGCTGATGTGAGAATGTGAAAAAGAATTTAAAATAGTTAAGCATCACCTAGATATAAAGTATTAAGAGAGTAGTAAGTCTGTGGAAGAGACTGTTCGTGGTCCCCCCACATTGTTCCCCTTCCACCGTATTGGAATTTGTGGCCGGGGCCTGGCTGCCCAGCATGAAGACGCGTTTCCCAGCCTCCCTCAGAACAGCTTTGGGCTCAGTTCTGGCCAATAAGACATGGACGAAAGTCATCAAGCAGCTTGCAGGCTGCGAGCCTCTGCCTCTGCCCTGTGGCTAAAATCTGGAGATGGTGGCAAGCCATCCTGCACTATCGGGGTGAGGGTAACACCCCAGGGACGATGGAACCACAGGCCTGGGTCCTTACACCATGTGGCGCCTGAGGGCTTTGTGGAGCAGAGCCACTCCACACGAGAGACGCGCAGTTCTGTCTCACTCAAGTCAGTCACTGTGATCGTTATTTTTAAACCCTGTCACATGCAACTGAACCTTTTTTGTAACTCAGGGCTTTCCCCCCAGTATGCCAAGGTGTGCCTGAGAACAGGTTCCAGCGAGCTGAGACATTGATCCCCCGGCCTCGGAGTGGCCAGACTGGGCCTGGGGCTCCCAGGACTCCTGGGCCAGTCATCTCTGGCCACGATCAGTTTCATCTTTTTTTTAACCCAAAGCATCCTATATCATTTTTCCAATAACACAAAACATAGATACAGAGTATAACATAACACTATATCTATATCTATATCTATATCTATATCTATATCTATATCTATATCTATATCTATATATATATCTATATCTATCTATATATATATATGTATATAAATGTATAGGAACTGTCAGGGATTTAAAAAGATGAAAGGGACATAAAAACTAAATGCCAGCCAAGAATCTGAATTTGATCTCGGTCTAAGGAAAAAGCTATAGAAGACATTTTTGGGACAACTGGGGAAATTTTAATATAAGCTAGATATTCTGAAAGTATTTTTAAGATTCTAACTATTGTGGTTATGTAGAAAACTATCTTCATTCTTAGGAGATGTATACTGAACTGTGCGTAGGTGAAATGTCATCGAGGCAGACAGAGACAGAGACGGAGAGAGTGAGAGATGGAAAGGTGGTAAAACGCTAACAGTTGCTGGATCTAGGTAGATGTTTGCTGTAATACTCTTTCAACTTTCCTATATGTGAGACAATAATTTTTATAATAAAATTTTGTGAAAAAAAAAAATCTGACTTATTTTGGTCTCCACAATAAATTGATAATCATAATTAACACACAGGTACACACAGTGAGGAGCAGGGTCTGATCTAGACTGTGAGGCTTAAACTCTCCACTACAGTTGCTCATCGGTCTGAGCGCAGGACCTTTCAGAGGGATGATCCACGTGCACGTGGACACGCGTGGGCTGTTGCGGGAGAACACCAAAGAGACTAGCTAGCAGCAGTGGCTGCCTTTGAAACAGGGATTAGGGGAAGATATGGGAGGAAAAATTACCTTTCACTAGACGCTTCAACTGTAATTGTTAAAAAAAACAGTCCCCAGAGATAAAATTCTCAACCTATCTGTCAGTGTGGTCTGACATCCATTTTATACTCCCTGAAAACTGACCCAAGAAAAAATGTTAATCCAGATTTTCAAGTATAGTTTTATTTTCTAAAACTGTCAATAAAAGCTAACATATTTTAATGCCTTTAAAACTGAAGTATAATCTCACTTTTTTTAAAAAAAAGAGAAATATCTATACTATATATTTTGCAAGAAGATGTATTTTTCTATTTCTATGTATTACAAATTTCTGTGTCTTTCTTCAAAGAGAAAGATCTAGGTATATTTATAGATGATGTACTGATAAGTAAACCAATCAAGTGGCAAGCACTATGTATGCTGTGATTCCATTCATTACAAATAAAAGTATGTGCATAAGAAGAGGTCTTGACACACCAAACATTACCAGTGGTCACCTACAGAAAGGCGGGGAGTGAGGGTGGCAGGCAAGTTCCACTTTTTACCTTATGCATTTCTATATTATTAGAATTTCATTATTAATGAATGTGCACAGCTGCGATTTTAAAAACCCATAAAATAACTAAATATCAACAACAAACCTATTCCCCCAAACCCCAACCTCCTATTTATGTGTGAGCCCCTTCCCCACCGGTTCCTTCACCTAAGCCCGATCACCGGCTCACCGTTTAAAGTGATTTTTAAGAAAATGTTGTGTGGAACTTTCCTCGTACCTGATTGTAATAATCTGTCCAAAGTTCAGCTCAAAGTTGTTCACTTGAGCGATGAAAATGGCAGCCAGAGCCTCGTAGAGGGCGGTCCCGTCCATGTTAATGGTGGCGCCCACCGGGAGCACGAATCTGGTGACCCGTTTGTCCACGCCGTTGTTCTCCTCCAGGCACTTGAAGGTGATGGGCAGGGTGGCAGAGCTGCGGACAGGGGCACAGGCCGGTCAGCCGGCCACGCGAGCGCGGGGCCCGGCCTGCCTCTGGCGTCTGGACGGTCCCCTCCTGCTCAGGGGAACTGAGTCAGCGCTCGTGCGGATGGGAAGCAGGGTTAGGGACGGTGCGGGGGCCCTCGCCGGGCCACCTGGCAACCTCCTGCTTCTGGGTTCCTCTCTGAGGCCTCCCGTGCCCTTGTTTCCCCGTCCCAGCAGCCTGTGCCAAGTGACTGCCGTCTCTCCCTCAGGCAAGTGCCAGCTAGAAGGGGGAGGTGACCGTGGGCGGGAAAGGAGAGCTGGTTTCCACTTCGTGTCCCCAAAGGGCGCACAGCCAGCTGTTCCTTACTTAAATCCCGGGCCCACTCACATCAGCAGCGAGGCCGGGTCACATGCCTGGGAGCCTACACGCCCCCCGGGCCCCTCCACCTGAGCCTGAGCCTCTGGCCCGGGCGGAGCCGCACAGACCTTTTCCCGCAGCCGCGAGCCGCATACGCACCTGGAGGAGGTGCCCAGGGCCGTGATGAGCGCCTGCAGCAGCCCCCCTATGAACACCCACGGGTTTTTCCGCGTCACCAAGAAGTAGAGGAGTGGCAGGACGATGACCGCGTGGATGAGCAGGCCGATGATGACCGTCACGGTGTACATGGCGAGCTGGCCCCCGATCACCCCCATGTCCTCCATCTCAACAATCTTCCCCGCGATCAGGAAGAGGATTCCCAGGGGGGCGTACCTGTGCGGGGCAACGCGACAGTCGGGGGTCCGATCGCCAGCCGGCCCCTCTACGGAGTGGCCGGGGGTCAGGAGAGACAGAGAGAGAGTTCCCTCCACACCTGTCTGCCGGGGCACTGTGACGACCTGCGGTAACTGGGGACTTCTTTCTTTTCTTTTTTAAATATAAATTTGAATCTAAACTCCGCAGAATTAGGCTCTCCTCTCAGAGTTTCTCCAGGTCACATTTGTTTGATCCTAAGCCCGTGAGAGAAGCCAGGGGCGCGGGTTTTGTTACCCACCTCTTTTTTCCTGGGTACCCTCTCACACATCTGGGTCACTTTTCGGGCCCAGATGTCATGCCCCCCTCTCCCCTGACTCCTGCCCGCCCCCCCAAGTGCTCTGAACCTCCAGGAGCCACCAAAATGATACCCAGACTTTAGGAAACATCTCCCCCATCAGGCTCTGATCCCCGAGATAAAGCAAGAGGCACACGACGCCATGTCAGTGTTTAGATTCGCACTCAGCTCTCTCATTCAAGGCCGCTTTTATTATTTCTTCCCCTGTTGCACATGACCTACAATATTACTTAATATTAGTCTTCAAATCAACTCTTTTACTTAAATGTCTCCAAAGAGGAAATTTTGTTACAGTGCAAATAGAAAACTAGTACCATTTGCCATACACAGAAGGCAACCATAAAATAAATTCAGAGCTATTAAAAATTAATAATGTGCATGTATCTACCACCATCAGATTACAGGTGTTCTAATTAACTAATTATTATCCACAGGCTACTAATGCCATCTGAGATCTTTCCCCTGTGGGCTCGGCAAGAACGAACAACTGAGACACAGAATGACGGTGCATGTTGAAACACCCCGGTTGCTTAAAGGCCCTGCTGCCTGCGTTTGACTCCCCCTGTCTGACGTGGGCAGTAAACGTCAACCAAACTCACATTACCAGAACCAGGAGGCCATCATCCTGAGGCAGAAGGGTCTGCTGGGCACTGGGGAGGACTATTTCAAATAGAAAAATGCAATGCTTCTTTTAGAAGTCCTTTCAAAACACAGGCCAGGAAATTATAAGAGTACCTGCTTGCAGAAATGTAATAACTCAACGTTGAAAGTGCAGGCAAAATGCACAGCTAGAAGAGCTACATGTGAGGTTCATTCAGCAGCCTTGAATGGGCTTCTTTCATAAAAGAGGTGAAAGGTGCAGGCATTTTCATAATATGAAGATAAATGTCCACTTTCAGCCCTGCCAAGATTTCAAAGGAGCGCCCCCAGGATTTCATCTGGGGGCTCCTGTGGAGACCACATTCTGATCGGTCTTTGTGCCCAAGTTTTCATATCCATCTTGTGCAAACTTCTGAAAAATGAATTTCTCTGGGCTTTGGTGGCAATTAAGACAAAGAATATTTTTAATCATGTTGGTGTGTATTTTTCTTAGAAATGGATGACTTCCTGCCTCAGGTGCCAAGAAGGGGCCTGAATTAAAAAGAAAGGCTAAACCAATCAAAGGGCTCTCTCCCTGCTGGAAAGAACTTACTTCCCAAGGTCAGTGTTCCTCTTTGGATTTAGTCTTTTCCNTCTCCCTGTTGGAAAGAACTTACTTCCCAAGGTCAGTGTTCCTCTTTGGATTTAGTCTTTTCCTTTGTCCCGATCTCAACTTTATTTGAAGGAAGTTTGTTATGNTTTCCTTTGTCCTGATCTCAACTTTATTTGGAGGAAGTTTGTTATGAATTGTGGGCTGGCATTCTACACTGCTTCCCATGAGTCCCCAGGCACGCAGCAGAACCACACTGGATTTCTTTCTTAGGGCTCAACCGAGCAGGGGTCTCAGTTTTTCTGGTGGTCTAGGGGCGTCTACATTTGTTTCTCCTGCTACTGAGAATGGTCTTCTCCAGTACTTTGTACAGCTGGTTGGCTCCTCCCAGTCATTCAAGTCTTAGCAAAAAAGGCCACCTCCTCAGAGGCCTGTTCAAGGCACATTTCATGCCTCCTCCCCAGTCACTTTTTATCACATCACATCACATCACATCACATCACATCACATCACATCACATCACATCACATCACATCACATCACATCACATCACATCACATCATCATCACATCACATCACCACATCACATCAAATAAAACCTACTGTTCTATTTTTTTCACAGCACTGGTGAGTGAAGCATATGGTTGATTGATTGGTTTATCTTCTGTCGCCCTTAAAAGAATGTAAGAATCAGGACATTCCTGTATGTTTTCTTCATGGCCATATCCATAGTGCCTGGCATTAGATGCTTGGTCTACAGTAGACACTCAATAAATCCGCCGTAAATGAATAACTAAATAGATCTGAAATGGCGGGATGAGAAATGGGATCCCATCAGCACTGAGGTAAAGGAGTTGACATCTTTCAAGGACAAGTAAGCAAATTTATTGAGAGAAGCTTGCAGATGGGTTCAAGCCGCTACAAGCCCAGAGAGTCATTGACTTTCTTGTGTTTACCAGAAGGAGATCATTGCAACTAGCCATCCTGCCTGGTGGCATCTTCCTCAGAACAGGACACATGTGGACAGCAATAAGCACCTTGTATACAGCATACAGAGCTAACAAAAATACGTACCACATTATCACTGCTACCAATCTCATGATGGCTTCGTTAAGAGAGTCAAAGAAGTCTCTCAGGGCTTGTCCCTGCTCCTTCATGTTTCCAATCACAAAACCAAAGCACATAGAGAAGACGACCAGTCCCAGGGCGTTGACCCCATTCACAGACCCGGGAACTGGGATCATCTCCTCTGTGATCTTTGAAAGCGTCTCCATGGCCTCCGACACGTTGTTTATCACCGCACCCACGAGTGTTTCATTGGACTGGACAGGCACTTTAAAGCTTCTCTTCTCATAGCTGGTTTTAAACTTAAAAAGAAAAGGCACAACAGGGATTTAAGGTGGTGATTTTTTTTCTTCTTTGAACTTTTCTATTGTCCAAATTTTCTGATTATACATTACTCTGCATTCAAATAATAATGTTATAGAAAGTATCTATCTATCTATCTATCTATCTATCTATCTATCTATCTATCTATCTATCTATCTATCTACCTACCTACCTACCTACCTACCTATCTATCTTCTATCTATCTATCATCTATCATCATCATCTATTTATCATCTATCATCTACCTGACCTGTGACAAACCCCTACTACTTCAACACACACACACATACACACACACCAAATCATAATAGGAAACCCATATCTGGTTGAAGATGTTTGACTAAACATACACATGTGCTTTTGCTTTATTCTGAAACTCTAACAAAATGAGTATAATGGCTTTTAAAAAACGATAAATCCAAATCCAAGTGTTCACAGTAGTCCCTTTACTCTCAATGGGTTCATGCCATGGGATTATGGACAAATCACCTAACGTCGTTTTGGTCATATTCGCAGCGCGACTGTGAAACAGGGATAATTGTGCTGGTTTTACCTCGCAGGGCTGCTGTGATGATCAAACTGAACAGAATATATGAGAACATCTTGTACATTTTAAAGTGTTAGACTAATGCTGGCTAATGGTGCTCCATAACAAAGCTCTTCAGGGACCAGACCTAGTTGGAGATTTCAGTGGATATTGAAATTTTAAATCTCAAACAACAGTCTTTAAGGCATTCCTGATAGTATCAGTTCTTAAGACTAGGTGCTTGGTGAATAGCTGATGATGACAACCCACTTCTCAAGTCCATAGTGGCACTTCTGTTCTTACTCAAGGGATGGCATTTTCCCCATAGACTTTACATATATGTTCCAGACAGGCGATGCCAAGTATATTACTGAGGCCAAATAAAACAATTTAGCCCACCCCTCTATGATTTTAATGGGGGCATAATTCCTGGCCTTCACGTTGACTGTAGTCAAGCATCAGGGAGAGTAGTAATATATGGATATTGACTGGATCTAGAATGTAGGGGAAAACACACAGCTGAACTTTAAGTGCTGGGCCATTTCTTTACCGAGAATAAGTGGGAGACTTTTGTGTCCAATGGGAAACCACTCAAGCAAGGACACGGCCAGCTGTCAGTACTGTGGACATATCCCTGAGCAGTCAGCGGTACTGCTGGTAATTTCAAGTAACGAAGAAACTGGCTCCTTGCTGTCTCCTCTCCCAGTCAGCTCTCAAATCTCTATTCCATTGGGGTGTTCATGCAGTTTATGGATTGTTTAGGGTAGATTTTCAATCCCAATTAGCCTTTCCCATGCCTCCAACTCTTTCCCCTTAGACACAGTTTGTAGCCTATGCAGAAACTGTAGCCTCACGTGATTTCTGGTCTAAGACAAATAGATCTGGGAAGATATGTTTGCTTCCCCCTTCAAAGTCCTATAAATGCAATCCAAAAGCAAATCCAAGAAATCTGCATGAGTTAGCACTTTCCCCAGTGCTGCTAGAAATCAGCATTTTCGATGTCACCCAGTGCCAGCTGACTAACTAGAAGGAGTTGGCTGGTCAGATTGAAAAGGGTTTATTATTTTATGGTTGCAGTTGTTTATGAGTGGAAAAGTTAGATTTTGGGCTCTCTCTCTCTTTTTTTTTTTTTTTTTTAAGAGAAAGGGTTATGTTAGAATATTGCTGTGTGTGCATGCATTACCTATTAAAAATAGTCAATAACATTTTTTAAAAGGGAAAATAAAGGGTGGCTTATATGTGTAAAACTTGGTCATCCACGAGGTCAGGGTTTGTTTTGTTTGCTTTACTGATCCTAAGCAGAGAGGTTAGGGAATTGTAACGAGGGTAAATGACACCATCTGGAAAAATGTTTGGGAACTATTATTGAATCCAGAAAGTCTATTTCCCTTTTAATATCTGGCAACAAAGCTTTTTTTATTCAAGTGAGGTTAGATTGAACTTTACTAATTTTATCCCCTAATAGTAAAATGTATTTGTATCCAAAACACAGACAGCCAAGAGCTGCTTGGCTATCGGGGGCTAAAAGGAACCAGATCTCACTAGAGCCTCCAGGTAGGCGTCTCATCACCCTGAGTATCGCTTTCGAGGAAGCAGACTGTTGGAGTGAAAGATGATGGGGTTTGGAGTCACTCCAATGGATCTGAATCAGGGTCTGCCATTTACTGCTTGTGAGATCTTGTGCCCTTTATAGGTATAATCCCTCTGAGTTATCCTAGATGAGCTGCCTCATCAATGAAATGAAGACAGTGATATCTGTCATAATTATGTGAGCACTAATATAACATTAGTGCTTGGCACATGGCTCGCATTCAATATAAGACGACGTCGTTTCTTTCGGATACGGTTTATGGAATCCATAAGCCCTTAGTAGATTTTTAAAGAATGGCCCATTGATTTAAAAAAAAAATCAAATCCAGAAACTTGAATAATCGCCCTAATCTTTAAAACAGCTTGTAAATGTATTTCATATTGGAGTCTGCCTGCTTGGTGGGCTTTTGTATGTGGGATGTGGAGGCAGGAAGAGAGGGAGTCTCCTGATTAGCCTTCTTAAAAATCAACAGACTCAATAAGCTATCTGTATGTAAGACATGCAGTATTTGGCAACTGATAAGCCTTCAGTATAAGGTCAGACCCACCTCTGCCTCCTAAATTCATTAGAAAACCCTAGTGCTTTCCCATCTGGTAGAGAAGTTGTTTCCTATTGCAGAGAAATGGGAAAAAAAAATACAAAGAGGGTCCCACTGTGTTGGTATGTCGCAGAGGAGTCACTAAGGTAAGTTAGTAGCTGTAAAGTGTTTACCTGTTTAAAGCACGCTTCCACCAAATTTGGAGGGAACATATTCCTGCAAAGAAAATAACAGTCACTGAAAAATGTCCCAAATAGTAAGTTATCTCCTTAAATACTTTCCCACTAGGCCTAAGGTAAGGATTGACGGTCATGGTGATGGAATAGGCTTCAGCTCGCGTTCCCATCTTCCCTGAGGCCTTCCTGTCCAGGGCCGCCATCCTGGCCAAGGCAAACACGTTGATTTTCAGGGAGTCAGTCCAGGGAACTCTCCAGCGGCAGGTGACGGGCACAGGGTTTCCTTCTGCACCCCCCTCCCCTCGCCCCACCCGGCAATGGGGTTTCTTACATGCTATGAGACCTTGGCACCAAACTTAACCAGAGCACCACGAGAGNAAAGGGGAAAAGCCAAGACTGGCTGAGCGTCAGCTGTGTCCGCAAATGCACGAGCACCTGTTTTCTGCCGCAAGAGCTGATTTCACGTGTCTCTCCAATGATTTAAAAAAGCCATCAAGTTCTTTCCTAGGTTACTACTAGGGAAGCTGCGAGTGTGAATAGTAGTATTTGTTTGAGCAGCAAATGGANTCGGGGAAGCTGCGAGTGTGAATAGTAGTATTTGTTTGAGCAGCAAATGGAAAAAGAGATTTTGGTGGATTTTATGGCTTAAAATGGAACATATGGCCATCCCTAAGTGTGGTCCATGTAGTTCCTATTTTTCTAGGAAGTCCCAAATTTAACTCACCCATCCTCTNAGTGTGGTCCACGTAGTTCCTATTTTTCTAGGAAGTCCCAAATTTAACTCACCCATCCTCTTGTCAGACAATGAGATTCTTTGTTCAGACATTATACCATCAAAACCCTGCTCCTTGGAAGAATCAAAGTGAGAATGGAAATGCCTTTTGTCAAAAGCATCCTGGTTGATTGTGGTATTATTCAGTAATGGCCATTTTGGTACGGTGCCATGTGTCTAGCGACCAAATATTCTGAATTAAAAGTCATGGTCAGACTGGAATTTTGTTCTCTGAAAAGTTTCCTAAAGGTCCCCTGGGGGATGGGACATGGACACTGTATTGCTGGAGGTTCTGAGGCTCTTCTGTTGACTAATGGGAAAAAGGACCATGACATTTGACCTTGAGGCCTATGTGACAAGATCTGTCACTTCCTCAGAGCAGTGTCTGAGTTTATGGTGGGGAGATGACAAGAAGCAACACTCAGCTGGAGAGTCTCTACCCAGATGTGTGACCTTGACCAAGTCATGGCACCCATTTAGGTCTCAGTTGACTCATCTGATAAAGAGGAAATTGGATTAAACTATCATAAGAGCTCCAAGAATGAAGACTGTTTTTGACCTGGGCAGTTGCAGAGCCCCAGGCTGTAGTAGTTGTGTGCTGTCAAAGTCATATTTTAAGGTAATAAATTCTTGTCCCTTTNGGGAGAAGGAGACATGACCCGGGCAGTTGCAGAGCCCCAGGCTGTAGTAGTTGTATGCTGTCAAAGTCATATTTTAAGGTAATAAATTCTTGTCCCTTTCTTCCTACTGCTTAGACCATCCTGTCTCCTTTCCCTTCCCATCCATGCTCTATGGGTCTGTTTCTATAAACCTCAACAGAAATGTGAGTTCAGGAGATTCCAGGATAAATGTTTAAGCCAAGTGATTGGGTCGGGACAGGTTAGTCATATAGTTACCCCTGGGGCAAGGAGGGGCAGAAACACATGGTTCTCTGATGGATCAACCAGACTGAGAATGACAAGATGCCAATTCTTCAAAGAAGGAATAGAAATTATACAGAAAGAGAACATAATAAAATACTTATATTTCAAACTACCTGATAATAAATGAAGTTATAAAAAATTGTGAAAAGCCTTAATTAACAATATGAACTAAATTAAAATATAGCTATTGGGCAACAACTTGAGATGAAATTTTTATAGGGTATCTCGTTACCTTCAGATCATTGCAATTAACTCCCTGAAAAAGACTTTCAAGAGGAGGCTCTGTTGGGCTGGGTCATGCTTATATACAGATGCTACAAAGTCACCCACAGCAGGAATTGAGAAGTGTGGTTAAAGAGACCCTTTGTCCCCTCAGTCTCTCTTGAATCTACCTGCCACAGGCCTGGTTGTTGAGATGGCATATGAAATCAAGTTCCTAGGAGGAGTTTCTTTCTGATGATCAATGGGGGTCCCTTTAGGGTTGGTATCCAGGATTGGTAAGCCAGTTACTTTGCAAATAGGATGTAGGGAAGGGAGGAAAGGGCTAGGTTTGGGGAGGACAGTTTGGATGGGGCTACACAGTGGGTGGGGGATGCTAAGAAGGTGGGGGTCTAGAGGCCTGTGCTGGGCTATCTTCTATTCCCCCTTCTAGATCTACCTCCATGTTGCTCTGTGCCTGGGAGGCTGACCCCTTGGACTGTAGCATGTGGGTTCTCTCGCCTTATGGCTTCCTGTTGGGTTTGTCCCATGGGATACTCTGAAAGATCACAAGGTAGGAAAGAGAGACATGGATGTTCAGATTCTCCCAACTCTCTCTTTGACAGGCTGGGCGGCAGCTCGCTCCCTCCAAACTAGAGCTATAGGTCCTCTCCTGAGGGACCTTCCTCAAGGCCATAGCTCTGAGTTTTAATAACAGCTTGTGCCTTTATCCCTCAGAGCTACGGGTGGTAATAAAATAGTTTCCTATTGCTATTAGTCCCCTGGTGCCTCACCATCCCTCGTAGGTTCCCTTAACCCTGCTTGCACTGCTGCAAGCCCTTTCCAATAATCCCTTTGAAAATGCAATATGCTTTCTGCTAGGACCTGACTGTAAGACCAACTCTGTCATCAAGTCTGTTTCAATACTGCATAAGACTCAACTGTAACCAGTCTATGGTTTGTACGTAAAACAATGCTCAAGAGGCCATCCTTTAACTTCCTATTACTGACCTGCCAACTCCTTTCTTCATAAACAGTACCAAAAAAAGTGACCTTGAAACAGGTATGACCAGATGATCTCTAAAGTCCCTTTTGGAAATAAATTGTTGTGTATAATGAATGATAACACAGACCACAAGTTCTAAATTAGAGGAGTCCAATAAACAGGCTACACTTGAATAAAAACTAGCCTTAAAGAGCAAGGCTTGAGAAAAGTTAGAGAGAACTGAGTGATCAGATCCTAAATCCTAAAAGCAGGGCTCTCAAAGTGCAACTCTGTCCACTCCTTGCTCTTCTTACGTCTTTCACATAACATCAAATATGGATCCTTATTTTAATTTCTGTTAGAAGTAAAGATGTGACCTTCATATCAGGCCCAGCAAGGCTGGTTCAGCTGGATACTACTCTGAGGGTTTGATTAGCTCTCCCAAATAAGAGGGGTGGGTGGTCAAGATATACCCGCAGGACTTGCAAGGACTTACCTGATCAAGTCCAGGAAGGCATCTGCAGCTGTCACTTGTATAATTTTGCCTTCTCTGTGCATGTTTTCCTTTGTGCCCTTCCCAGGATGGATGATGATGACAATGATTATGCCGATGACCACGGCAATGATGGTCGTGGTCATGTAGTAGACGACCGCTCGCATTCCCATCTTCCCTGAGGCCTTCCTGTCCAGGGCCGCCATTCCTGGTGAAGGCAAACAGACGGAGGTCTTCAGGGGGTCGGTCCGGGAACGCTCCAGCGGCAGGTGACGGGCACAGGGTTTCCTTCTGCACCCCCCTCCCCTCGCCCCACCCGGCAATGGGGTTTCTTACATGCTATGAGACCTTGGCACCAAACTTAACCAGGGCACCACGAGAGGTGAAGGGCAAAAGCCAAGACTGGCTGAGCGTCAGCTGTGTCCGCAAATGCACGAGCACCTGTTTTCTGCACGAGAGTTGATTTCACGTGTCTCTCCAATGATTTAAAAAAGCCATCAAGTTCTTTCCTAGGTTACTACTAGGGAAGCTGTGAGTGTGAACAGTAGTGTTTGTGTGTGTGTGTAAAGAGATAGACACTTAAAAGAAACTTCTGGCAGAATGATTTAAGCATATTTCAAATCCAAGCACCATGGTGACTCACACAGATGAACTGCCATTAATTTTTTAAAAAGAATTATGATTTTATAAATGTACTGTGTTTTTTTTTTTATATTATGTAAAATTTAAGTGATTATTCCCATAGCCTACTGATTTATCTTCAATTTGCATTTAAAGTACAATTGAGTTATAAGGCCAAAGCTCTCCAGTTGCTTCTCTGCTGTTTCATTTCATCTCACCTGATCAAAACTTTTTATGAAGAATTACTTAGGTGAGGTTCTTCTCATTTTTGGACCCCGCCTTCCATCACCTTGTTCCACTTCCTCTCATGTTAAACATTTTTCTTTGCCTCACTTTCAGGACATTTTCCAAATTTACCTCAAGCAAAGTGTTATCTTAGGAGGCCTGACTTTTAAGATTCCTAAACTGCTCTAACAAAGGAAACATATCTTGATGCCTCTTGCGAATAGAAAAAAAATAAAGGACACAAAAATCTCACAAGATAAGATTATGGGCTTCCCTGTTACATTAGCAATTTTCTTTTCTTCCCACTAAAACAGTAAAATCCAATTATAGGATGATTCAATTATAGTTAATTGTACTATTTTCTTTACTATTTAAAAATTGTGTTTCTAGAAATATATTAAAAGGTTATATTGTAATTCAACAATCAGTATAAGATTCTAATAGTGGTTTAACATTTAGGTAGTGACCCTGTTCATACCAAAGTATTCTGAGTAAGGTAAAGTATTGAAAAAATAGTGTCCATGATTACCAGATAACTGGCTGGGTTTGCCCAAAATTCTTAATACAATGGTAATGAGCTTAGATGGGAATTGAAGACATGATTTTCAATTTATAACTTCATTTGTATTTAAATCATATCATTTATAATTTTCATAGTAAGCACTTGCTTAGTACCTGATATATTCTTATTTTTAACCACAATCTATAAGGCAGATTAAAAGACAATTATAATTCTCTAAGGCCTTAGCTAACACCAAGTAAAATGGAGTGGGAACTTCATGAACCAATTCTCTATGTAGCTGGGGTCTGGTGTCCCACATGGGGCTGCTGGTCCACCTCTGTTCTTGGGGCTCCAGCATCTTCCTCCTCCCACCTTCCAACTCTAACCACTCCCCCTTTCTCTGAGACAGGCTTGTAAAACTAAAGGGACCACCAGAAACAAGGCCATACGCTGTCATCAGGACAACAGGCGGACGGGTATGGATAATCTGTCACACACCAGGCCTGAAGAGAATGGCCTTGATATTGGTAGAAGCAGGAAAATGGGGGAAGACAGAACCCCAAATGAGCAGGGTGTCAATTTTCCTCTCCCTTACACAAACGGACCACCTCCTTTCCCCAGCCTCATGAAATTCGAGACAAAGCTCTACGCCAGAGACAACACACAAATGTCAGTGTCTGGGGACAGGGTAAAGCACTGAATCACTTTATACAAAAGGGAACTTTTGCAGGAAGTGCCCTAAATGCTTGGAAAGGGGAAAGTTTGCATTGAGCCTTGTCACTTGAAAATACTTGGAAGAAAGGAGCACCGGGGCAAGAGGGAGATAGGAGACTACTGGGGTATGTAGGTATTTATAGGAGTGTGTTTCAACAAGCATACATTCATCTAAATACATATTGGAGAAACACATTCCAGAGCAAGTCATAAAGACAAAGATCTTCACTGGTCTCTTTCTTCATTTGATCTGGGCTTAGCTATAACAGCCCCATTTAAGACATTCTAACACGTTTATTATGAAAATGATCTGCCATCTTGAAACCCAAAGAAAGATATTGCACAACTGCTACCAGTGCTGTGATTGGTCTTCCAATTACAGTGACATGTTCGTATGTTTATATGTTTGTATATCTTGAGTTGACTTTTGTGCTGGCCCACTCACTCATTCACCAAATTCTACCTCCAACCAATGGCACATATTCATCCAATTTCATGACAACTGAATGTTGTATATTGGTGATACTATTTTAAAGATGAAGATTCGAGAGGCCAGAGAAGCTAAGTTTAGCTTGCCCAGTGTTGCACAGTTGGGAAACGGCAGTGGCAGGATTTGAACCTACACTCTCAAGTGCCCTTTCTACTATACCTCTTTTTATGGACAAGCTAGAAGTCACCCACATTTCATTTGCTTGAGTTCAATGCTGAGATGAGCCAGCTGGCTGGAGGGAAATTCCATGGAGGCGGTAACTGTGGAAAAGTGCTGACCCGATCCTCGGTTTTCCCCACCTTAAGGGAGAGTAACTGGCCACCAGAAGTGCTAGCTAAAGAGCTGATCAATCAGTTCAAATTCCTCACCATTCCTAAGAAAACAGCCCAGGGCATGGAGTTCAGAGGGTTATGAATGCTGGCTATGGGCACGTGAGTCTTATTTTCCTTTCTAAAAGTCAACCCAGAAATATCCATTCAGCAAGCAAGCAAGCAATCAACCAACCATTTCCACAAACCACTTATATGTTCATCAATAAGTTAAGCCTCTAAAGGAGATCGAACAAGATGTCTTCCAGAATATAAAAGATTAAGACTCTGTTTCATATATCTGGGTATTTTAGGCAGCGGTCACTTTGAAAAGAGAGGCATGGAAGAGAGTTTCTTGATGCGAATGGGTAAATATGCATTTACCTCTTTATTTATGAAGACAGGCATTTGGTAATCAGTTTAGTACAACAAATATCCACCAAATTCATGGTTTTCTTGGGCTGGGGTTGGGGTAGGGAAGGCGTGTTTCATAAATGTATGTGTGGAAGTCTGTAAGTCTATATCTTAAGATTTCTTTTGGCATAATATTTAATATGGCTTCTTAGATTCAATGAAATATGTATCCAGCCAAGTTTTAAGAATAACATATAAATAATATCAAGTTCCCAAGGCTCTATTATTTGCATGGATTGTATTCTTCCTCTGCCAAAAGCCTACGTCCTACACATTAATGTGTCTCACTATATTTCCTCCAGTGCTTCCTGTCTCTGGTTGTGAAACACGAAACGCAGCGGAGAAGCCGTCTGTTGGGAACCGTCTTTCTACTGGTCCCCGGTGCGCCACTGCTCGTCTGGGGCCACTGGGTCAGGCCCAGAAAGAACGGGAAAGGGGGTGGCGAGTGCTGGTTCGAGCTATTGTTCTGTTTCAGTTTTTACTTTATTTTAGTTGTACTCCCTTCTCACAATGGGCTTCTCAAATACTCCTCTAATGAAAGCCGCCTGTTCTCAGGCCTCCTAGAATTTCAAGGTGGGCAAACTCACAACAAGGAAATCAAGGCTGAGCTTTAGCATGTCCCGTGTTCATCTGAACATAAGGTGATGTGTTTCTGTGTGTGTGTTTTTAAATTAAACTCTAAAAATACAATATACTCCATAGTCACAGATGGAAAACTGGGCTCCTCAGGAAGGGACATGAGCAAGAGGGACAAAGAGCTCAGTGGAAAGGAGCTGGGGGGAGGGGGAGCACGAGACAAAGCACACGGGTCTCTGCCTATAGCTCTGTCATAGTCTTTTCACGGAAATATCTCCTCCTGGACTCCTTATAGACGAGACTGTAAGAAAATACAATTTGCAACACATGGCAAATCTTTAATAGTTAGGTTAGAAATTGCTGGGAATAAGTGATTGTAGCTCATCTCAGTTTTTAATCACAATTAATTAGCAGGTGATGGCCTCTGAACTAATCTAAGAGGCAATATTTCAAACTCCTTACAGCCAACCTCAGGCATTTTTAGAAGCATTTTTTTTTTTTTAATTATGTCACAGTGAACAAGAGTTCAGGCTCTGAGGTTAGACTCCTTGGATCCTGCTTCTAGCTCCTGTACCATACAGCCTCCTGTAAGCCTCAGCTTCCTCATCTATAGAATGGGGCTAATGAGAGTCCCTCAGAGGGTTTCCACTGGCAATAGGGACTTACATACAGAAAGCACCTGGCATAGTGTTTGGCACACAGTAAGCACTCAACAAATGGCAGCTGTTACTATTAATTAGACAGATAAATAATAAACAAGCTACTCCCTAAGTGTTATTTGACCTCTCTAAGCCTCCATTTCCTCCAGACAAGAAGCTAATAATACCTACATTGTAAGTTTAGGGAAAACTTACACGAATCTGTACAAAGTAGGCCCTTGGTAAATGCTAGTTACGACTGCTCCATGTCTCTCTTTTCCAGAATTTGAGTGCCAAGAGAGCAGAACCAGCTGTTTGGCTATTGATGTAGCCTCAGAGCCTAGAACAGTGTCTGCACAGGAAGCACCCCCAAGATATTTATTGACAGTCATTCTTATCACTGTTATTGTTGTGCTGGGTAGAGGCCACGTACTTAAAAAACAACAACAAACATTTAGATTAGGTTATTGTATGAATCACAAGTTCTACAGTTGCTTCTGTTAAAAATACTCTGAAATTCTGACTCACCAGTTTTGGTTGCTCTTGCCCCAATTAATCCAAAATTGTGAGGTTCATTCAATCTTGAAGAATGAGTGACAGACCTTGTGGCAAAAGAGTGGCCCAGCATCGCCGGAAGCTCCCTTGGCAAAGCAGGGGGGTCATTCCCAGGAGGTGTCTGCAGGCTGGTCGGGGGGCAGGGGGCTGGCATGCCTCTGCTCC